TGCGCTATGTTTAGACTAAATTAAAATTAATTTTCGTACCTCAACTTTTGGTAAAGACAATGCTCTGCGGAAATGGTGCACATCCTTTTACTTCTCTTTAGATATGTTGCTTTGATTCTAAATTAGCTTTTTTTTTTTCCTTGAGATTTTGTAAAAAAAAAAAAAAAGGGAAAAAGAGAGGCATGAAGATTTATTATTTTTATTCTATATATTTGTTTGAAACATTAACATTATATTTGGAACAAATGAATCATGAATATAAAATTCATTTATCACTGAATGCTAGATAGAATTTATTTATAAATGAATTTCTCATGTTTGGTATGTTTGGTATGTTATAATTTAAAATAAAAAATTCAATTGAATTCTACAAATTATGTTTGGAATAGATTTTTAAATTAAAATTCATTTGTCTTTTATTTCTTGTAATACCCTTGACATGATAATTTAATAAAAATAAATAAATAACACCAATTAAATTTATTATATACAATATAATAGAGTGTTATTTTTAATTAATTATATATGTATTTACATTCATCATAATAATTATTTTAATTATTGAAAGTCTTATCGATTTAAGTAATTAATTTGAAAAATACAAAAATATTTTAAAAAATTATTACTGTTTTCAATTGGATTTGAAAATAATTGTTAATAGTCAATTTTTATATTTTCATATTTCATAGTAATAACATCGGTTATTACTAGATTAAAAAAGAAAATTAACCTTTATTACTATATTAAAAAAAATTAACGTTATTACTAGTAATAAAAAGGATAAAAAAAGTAAAAATATAAAACCTTGGTAGGAATTTTCAATTTTTATACTAGTCATTACTAATGAATTCAAAAAGAAAAATGTTAGTAGGAATTTTCTAAAAAAAAAAAAAAAAAAAAAAAAAAAAAAACAAAAAAAAAAAAAAAAAAAAAACAAAAGGGAAAAAAAAAAAAGAGTAAAACCAATTGAGTTTACAGCGGAGGGTAATTTTGTCAACTAAAATTGCAATGACTTAATTTTGTGAAATTCATTTAGAAATTTCATCAATTTCAGTGGAGTTTAAGTTAGGCACACCCAATTCCTTAGAATTCAATTCGTAGAATTTAAATCTATATTTTTGTCATTCTAAACATAAAATATTGAATTTTCAAAATGAATTCTGCAAAATTTCATGGAATTCATTTATTCCAAATGCGCTGTAAATTTAAAAAAAAAATTGCTATTATATGTGGACTCAACTATTATATTTTTATAATAGAACATTGCAAAATAATGAGCTATTTAATCACAATAACATTGTTGCTCAATTCTATTCTTATAATTTGTAATAAAACATTGCTTACAGGCTCAGAATAAGTTGCACACTAAAAGATAAAATTGGACAAGGAAAAATTGTCATCTTTGGAAAACAAGCACAAATGCTTATTAGAGAGTTTTGCTCAACATTGACAATGTTGCAAGGATATACGAATCCTGAAGTTCTTCTACCATCATTTAATGCATTATTGGATGTTAAAAGAAAATTTTCAAGTTTCATTCAATATTAAAGCTGCAAGTTGCAAAAAATTGAAATTGTTAGTGAACAAAAACCTTTGATGATGAGCTTAAACCAGCTACTCCAATAACAGTTGAGTCATCAATGACAGATACTTCACTGCAGTTACTTGAAAAAACTTCATTTGTTAAAAAATAAAATTTTCCATCTCATGTTGAACATTAGTGCTAAAATAGGTAAATTCAAACTCTTTACTTATTAAATTTCTCATATTTAATAAAACTTTCTAATTATCAACAATTGCCCTAAATTTTCTCACAGTCCATCAGTTTTTGATTAGGTACGAGTCTGACTATGGTTGAACTGCTAAATAGTAATATTTAGAAGTGTTGTTTCCTTTGCAGATATGTAGTTAAATCTATATTTAACCGAAACTCTTGTGAATTTTTTACAAGACTCTGAAAAGTTTAAGCACTTTTACCATTATATCAATCATAAACTTTATACAATTACAAAACAAAAATATATTGTCAAACAACCAAAAGAAAGACCATATCATTTTGACAGGTATTTTTCTTTTGTCTTAAAACCTCCTTAACCGATTTTACGTTTTTGAAATGAGATAGATTGTAGAAAAATTTATCTGTTATATATTATTATTTGGTTTAATTTATAGATGTGCACAAACTCTTTTGGAACTCTATTATCTGGGTTGTAAATGGTTTTTTTTACAATTGACTTTTCAAACATATTTTGTTATGTATAAAAAAAACAATATAGGTATAGTATACTATACAATCATATCTTTTTTTTTGTAAGACTTTCGAATGTTTAAAATACTTTTAGCATTATATCAGCGATAAGTTTTATATGATTATAAAATAACATAATATAAACTTTATATTTAGTATTGTCAAACAAGGAAGAAAAATACTTAATCATTTTGCATGTAGATAGCCTTTTTAACATGATATTTAACACATATTTTTCTTTTGTCATCAAACTTCTTTAGCCAACTTCATTATTTCAAATGACATAGATAGTAGAAAATTGCTAATAATAATGTTTAGAATTGTTGTTTCCTATACAAGTTTGTAGTTATATATATATTGTTGTTTCCTAATACAGTTTGTAGTTTTTATATATACTTATATATTATTTAATATATATATATATAAATGCTTATAACACTATGAGGCTTTACATTTGGTATTGTCAAACATGTATTTTTCTTATAACATAAATGGTACTTTTGAAACATGACTTTTTAGACATATTTGGTTGTTATAAAACCAATATGGTAAGTATATTTCACAATCGTGAAACGAATTTTACTTCCAAAATTTAACTTTTAAATCCAATTTTAATTACTAATTACTATATTTGAATAATATTATATATATTAATATAGGTAAGAAGAAAACCTGAATTGTTGTGGATTAAATAACCTTTTTTGACAATGTGTTGTTGAATTATACTGAAGATGGCTACTTAAATGGCCTTTTGAACTATTAGCCTTAATGCATATATATCCATGTAATAAGATTATAATTAAACTTAACAATCACAATATATTAATGCAATAAAATATATTCTATAATCGATGTATTTAAACCATTGAATAAATATTCTTAAGACCACAATGCTAATTTTATGTGTGAGAAGAAAATAAATTCTTTATTTACTAATTTCAAATGAATATAAATGCTTATAACACTATAGGCTTTACATTTGGTATTGTCAAACATGTATTTTTCTTATAACATAAATGGTACTTTTGACATGACTTTTTAGACATATTTGGTTGTATATAAAAACCAATATAGGTAAAGTATATTTCACAATCGTGAAAGTAATTTATCTTCAAATTTAACTTTTTAAATCCAAATTTTAATTACTAATTTACTATATTTGATAATATTATATATATTATATAGGTAAGAAGAAAACCTGATTGTTGTGGATATAAATAACCTTTTTGACAATGTGTTGTTGAATATACTGAAGATGGCTACTAAATGGCCTTTTGAACTATTAGCTTAATGCATATATATCCATGTAATAAATATATAATTAAACTTACAATACAATATATTAATGCATAAAATATATCTATATCGATGTATTTAAACATTGACATAAATATTCTTAAGATCCACATGCTATTTTATGTGTGAGAGAAAATAAATTCTTTATTTACTAATTTCAAATGAAAATATAAAAAGTCCCACGACAACGTGCGGGTTGTTCGGCTTGTAATAATCTAAACTAAAAATAAATCCTAAAAGTCAGATATATTTAGGAAAAATTATAATCGTACCACCATATTTTATAAAAAAAAAATGCTTTACCCTTGTCGTTTTAAAAGTATGTTACTGTACCTTTACATGTTGAGTCGGTTATACTACATTGCCATTCTGTCCATTTTTTGTAATTTTAGAACATAAATCAAAGGAAAATCTAATAGTCCAAAGAGAGAGAGAGAAATCATCACCAAAATACCTTCTTCCTCTTCCTCTCCCTCTCTTTCTCTCTCATCAAATAAATCTGTATCTTATCCATAGCTTCAACAACACAACAGCTCCTAGTGTCATATCATTTAGAAAACTCTTCTGAAAATGTTCAAAAATGAATAAAACAAAACTAATATGTTAACTAATTGTTACCAATAGCAAATTTTATAATAAAAAGCCCAAAAGAAAGCCATAAACTAACAAAGAAAATCTGCAGCATCCTTGTCATTTGTAAATCTTTTGGTTTTGGAAAATGTACACTGTCATGATGAAAATTTACTTTGAAGCAATGAAAATTAGAAGATGACTATTATTCTCAACGTCAATTAAGGAGTCATTGAAGACAAATGCTACCTACACCATTTGAGCCGTTGAGGATTTGAAGCATTTTACCAGGTTTATGATATCCAAATCTATATTTGTGCTTCATCAATTACGACACAATTTGGAAAAAAATTTTTGTCAATTGGCCTTTCCGATTCAATCGTTCTATATATTTTCTCTCAAATTTAATCCATAATCAAATTAACATGAGGTTATAATAGATTATTATACCAAAAACCTAACATATTATTTTTATATTTTTGTTTGGAAGGATTAGGGTTTGCTTAAGGAAGAAAATAGAAGATAAATATGATAAATATATAGAATTAAGGTCAATTGTGTCATTTTACGTGCATTTAATGTTTAAAATCACAAAAACCTAAAGAAAGGGCAATTTAATTTAATGGATTCAAAATGTAGGGTATAATGATCTATTTTTAAAAAAATCAGGGTAAAATAATTTTTTTAATAAAATATAAAGATACAATTATAATTTTTTCATATATTTAAATTAAATATAAAAAATTGCAATCAATTAAATATAATTTATTATTTTAAATTAATTTTTTTTATATCTTGTTGATTTAATCCCTTTCGGTCCTATAATGTATAGTTTTTTTGGCAAGTTCTCACTCTTTTTGGAATTGAAGTCAGCTACCACCCAAACATAATTGTTGGTTAAATTAAAATCTTTTAACAAAAACAATTGCTTGTGATTTTGCTTCAATGGCAAAACCTCCTTCGACGTGGCATTCTCCTTGGACCCGAACGCCATTATATAATTTCTCCGTCTCCTAGAGTCAATTTTGAAGCCAAGCCAAAGTCAAAAAATGGCGGACCCAAATGCGGCCACCGTGTTCTCCGCCGTAGATCATTCTCTGAACGACCTTCCAGAAGAAATCCTGACACACATCCTCTCCTTCTTATCCACAAAATCCGCCATCCAAACCTCCTTACTCTGCCGCAAGTGGAGATATCTCTGGTGCCAACTCTCTTCCCTCAATTTCCCATACTCCTCTGTCTCGACCGCCACCTCCATCCCTGCTCGCTCTCTCGCGGACTTCATCAACCAAACACTAATCCGCCGGCCCTCAACTTCTCCTCCACTCCAAAAATTCCACCTCCAGTTTGACTTCAAAGAACATCTCTACTCCTCTCATGTAGACTCATGGGTTCGCTACGCAATTCTCCATCACGTGCAACAACTCGAGCTCGATTTCTACATAAGCAGGGAATTCCAGACTTCTGATATCGAATCAGATTACGATTTTCCTTTCTTTTTGCTTAAAAATGGGAATGTTAAGATTTTGAAGCTTACAAAATGTCGTATTACTCTCCCTACTAATGTTGCTTCTATGGGACTTAGCTTTCTGAAGTCGGTTTTTCTCGATCAGGTCTATTTAAGCGATGAAATGGTGTCTAATTTGATTTCTGGGTGTGTGAATTTGGTTTTTTTGGGTCTTGAGTACTGTTATGGGATGAAGGATGTGAAAATTTGTTCTTTGAAGATTACGGTGTTGCATCTTAACTACTTTACTTGTGAGGATGGGTCGCTTGAGATTTCTTGTCCAAATCTTGTGTCATTAGAAATGATTGGTTTTCATGTGGAGAAGTATGATTTTAAGAACTTATCGGGTTTAGTTGAAGCTGGCGTTGCTTTCTTGCATATGTGGAAGTATTATAGGCATTGGAGTCAGGTTATGAGGTTCCTTCTTCATGTCAAGCGTCTTACAGTCCAGAATTGGTGGTTTAAGGTATTCTTTTTACTTATATCCTGCAGTTTCTTATCTTGTTTAAGACATAAACATATTTATAAGCTCTGTCACAGAATATTTGTTATCCTGGAAGTTTTCGAGTTCAAATTTTGAATCCTTTTGTAGCATTAATTGTGTTATTTAACTTGTCTCGTTGGATCAAATTGGAGTTAGCTGGAGTTTATTTTGTGCAATGTATTTCTTTTTATGGAAATCTCCTGCTATTTGATCATGAAAACTGTTTTTTCCCCTTTTAAGATTAGTTGCCTCTATTTTTTGCAAATAGAGAAGTAGCTGTACATTTGTATGTTTCTTAGTGATATTGTATTGGAAATTAAATGAATCTGGTATTCATTTCATTTGTCAGTTAATTTTATATATATGAATTCTCATGTTTTGTTTATTGCATTTCAATATATGGAATCAATTTTAAATTATGAAGCCATTTTGAAAATTTTGAAAATATTCTTTTCATAATCAATTGTCAAATTTTGTTGAATTTGTTAGAATTTGGCTTATAATCTATTTCAGATAATTAAATACATAGAATTTCAAATGAATTTTTGAGGTTTGTAATAGATTCCCAAACAAATTCCATGAAGTTTTAGTTTGATTGATTTTCTTGAGCTTTTAGTAATACAATTATTATGCCACCTCCTAACTTTGTTTGGTCAATTTCTAAGCTTAGAAGATATCTTATATGGATGTGGACAGGAGCATTGTGTGTATTTTTGAAAACATCTGTGAATTGTTTTTGGGATAGTTGTGTTCAACTTTCTTCTTTTTATCATCTTCAAGGATATTTATTTTTTGACAATTACGGTCAGATGTTTAATAATGGTGCTACTTCGGTCCTTTTTTTTTTTTTTTCATATGCAGCTTCTTACGTCAACTGATATTTTTTCAAAAATATCTATATTCTGCAATCTCAAGCATTTAGAGCTAAGAACAGAGTACTCAAAGTATGATCTGCTTGGTATAGCTGCAATACTGGAAATTTCGCCTAATCTGGAGACTTTGATCTTAGATTACATTTGTAAGATAGATAATGATGTAAGTGCTCTGCCATAATTCTGGCAATTCTGAATTTTTATGGATCTATGTCCTTAGGTTGCTTGTTTCCAATCTTTAATTTCCAGGAATGCCTCTCAGAAGAGCTTTTGAATAAACCAATTCATCTGTCTCTGCCAAAACTTACATTTGTTGAAATAAGAGGTTGTGAAGAAGTAGAGAGGATTGCATTCTTCTTGGCACTTTTATTTGATCATGGAGTAGTTCTGGAAAAGGTTATTTTGTTTCCCCCGAGTGCGGATGCTTCCCGTAAAGTAGTGATTCTGCAAAGAACAGGCCCTTAGGTACATTTCTAAATCTCAAGTTTAAGAATGTGGTTGGTGAATTCTGAATCTATATTGAAAAAAATAGTTCATATTATGAAGTAAGACAGTTTAGGTTGCATAATATCCACACCTAACAAAAGAAACTTATTTTCGAAAATTTTATACAATTTCGTTTGAATTTTTATATTTGTTATAAATGAAAATGTTCATTTTGAACTTAGAAACTAAACCTATGGAACTTAAACATAACCAAACGAAATTTTATTATTTGTAAATGAATTTTACTCTTGATTCATCTAGACCAAACAAGGAAGTAAGTTTTGATTATCGACGTCCCACATGACATAATTATGAACGTTATGGTATTTTTGCCTGTGATTTGAGAGTCTAATGTGATTCTTCTTTAAATCAATGTAGTATAAATTATTTTTCTGTATTTGCTAGAGATATGCCCTATTTTTATGGCCTGAATTGTGATAGTCTGCTATATTTTCAGTTGGTGCTGCTTTTCCTCTGGAATTTGAGTCTTGGTATTCTTGTATGTTTCTCAGGAGAAATTCCATTGCACTCTAGCAATACAATAAGTTTCCTAAAATTCTATATATTTTTTTCTTAAATACTTTTTGTATAGCTTACAAATGTGGGATGCTTCTTAAGTTGAGTCTCCTATACTTTTTATCTCTATTCAAAGACTAATAATTTTGCATTTTTAATTGCAGCAGCCATCCATTGCCCGAGGATGGTGAAGTTTCTAATGGTTTTAACATTATTAAGGATAGAGTAACTAGATTTGCAGTGCTCCTCCTCATGAGAAACTTTTTGTTTCAAACCCAAGAGCAAGATTTGGCTGCCTCAGTATTCTTCGACAGGCTCAATCAAATCAACAATACCAGATTGTGGCTAATTTGAGTAAGAAAGGTTAGAAGTTGATGCTTTCAGTTAAATAGAATGAGTAGATATTGAATTAATTAAATCTCCATTACATAATTATTTACTCTGTGTAATTTTATTTTTAATTATACTAAATTGGGATAGAATAAGAACCCATAAAGATTATTTTCTTCTGAAAAGGAAAATAGAACTATAATTTGAGAAAAATGAAAAGGGAAAGTAATCTTAATATTATGTTATGGGGGGAGTATATAGTTAAAATAAGAGGAATGCTAGCTGAAGTTGCTCTTTCAAGCGACTGTCTAAGACTATTGGTTGAAATATATTACTTTTGCAAGTATTATAATTAATAATAGTGTGCATTGTCTCCTTTTTCATAATTTCCTCCGATCTCACCAAAAAATTCGAATGGAAGATCTTCAGACGGAAATTTCAAATATTAATCACTGAATGTCCTCTTGGAATTATAGACTACTGCCTTTCTTTTTTTTGGTAAAAAGGAAGAGCAAAGCTCAGGGAACCACAAACATAAACGTTGGTGGGCAATGCCAGAAATATCATGGTTCAACCAATAGGCAAGACCAGTAGGAGGTTCTAACAAGACATTGGTTTCTAAAGGGAAATGCCTAACAAATTTAGCTAAGCAAGTAGCACTGTGATTTGCTTCTCTATGCACATGAAACAGCCTGCAAACCCAATCATGAGTAAGAAGATTTTTGATAGCTACAACTAGCTGAAGCGTGCTACCCTTCAGAAGCGACACCACCGTTCACAAGCTGAACAACCGTCTCGTTATCACATTCAATAACCAAATGGGAGATACCCATGTCGTTAGCAAGTTTTAGTCCTTCAAGAATAGCCCAAAGCTCCGCTTCTGGGACCGAGCAAGTTCCAAGCTTGGAGACAAAACCTTTGATCCGCCTGCCTGGGCCGTACCTAATCAGAGCCCCTCCGCACGCTATAGACCCTACAAGAGAACCATCGGTATTTAGCTTGACAAAGGGAACAGTAGGAAAAGACCAAGCAATCCACGCATTCCGTGATAAAACTATGACTAGTGAGGGACTTGAGTCCATCTTGCCGCTATTTAAGCAGCACATCAGTTTTGTTTAAGTCTATGACTAGTTTTGTGACTTTCATCTCCAGAATATGCAAAGATTTTGAATTCTTCAGTGTACAACAACAACAAACTAAGTAGGGGTGACCATGCTTCGATTTCAAACAAGAATTGGTCAAAATCGGCACTAAGTGGTCAACGGTTTTTGATTTCAAACTGTCGTGTACTAAAAGTTCGGTTTTGATTCTTCATTTTTTAAATTGACAGTTAATTTCAGTTTAAAATTGACGGTTCCAATTTGAAACCGTAAAAATTATGTTCTTAAAAAGACTCCCTATTTATTTTTTTGTGTTATTATAATTTTTTAAAATAAATTTTAAGAATTTTTATTAAATTATTTTAGTGTTTTTCAATAGTAATGTTTATTATTATTGTTTATTCAAGCTAAAAAATCTAAAGAAAAGTTCTAAAATAATTTATTTAATTTTCTTTTTCAACCAAAATAAAACTGGAACTAGCGATTTTAAACCCGTCTTAGAAATCATCTAAAGCATTTGGTTTTAGTTTCACTTTTTTTTATAATTGGAATTGGTGGTTTTAAAATAGAAACCTGCAATTTTGAAACAGTTGTCATGCCTAAAAGTAAGGCTTTATGCAAATTTTTTATTTCCTTCCACCATGGTCATAATTAAGTTCTTGGTAATGTGAAGAAGTATGGTGCTCGCAGTTGATAAAATTAAAGTCAGAACTCAAAATTGGGTTTGCTTTAAATTTGATATGCGACTTACTACAATAAGCCTTATCACAATACGGTTTGAATTTGAACTGAATTAAAGAGTTAGGTCTGATTCGGATTCCGAATTGCTCATTAGAACTGAATCTCAACAGAATAAATCGTCAATCCAAATCATATTAAGCAGTTTAATTTAGTTTGGTCTATAAATTTTGAAAAAATGGTTTGTAGTTCAGTTTCGGTTTATTATTTGAATAATCCAAATCAAACTCTAAACCGTATAATAGAAGATAATATAGATGATATTATCATCAAAATTACACGAAATGTAATCTATAAAACAAACAACTTTTTTTTTTTTTTTTTTTTTTTAAATTTTTTTGAAAAAATGGTTTGTAGTTCAAGTTTCGGTTATTATTTTTGAATAATCCAAAATCAAACTCTAAACCGTATAAATAGAAAGAATAATATAGATGAATATTATCAAATATACAAAATTAACACGAAATGTAAATCTATTAAAACAAACAACTTTTTTTTTTTTTAACAACTTTTTTTTTTTTTTTTTTTTGTTATTGTTCAAAGTTTAAAGTTTGAATTTCTGCTTATTAGGAAGTTCAAGTTTGAATTATTTCAAGTTTTGAATTTCTGTTAAAAGAGATTCTGTGCCTAACTTTTTTTTTTTTTTTTGGTTACTGTTGTAATTATAAGAGCAGCAACTCTTCTTTTTACTAACAGATAGCAAAATGCAGATTGTAGACACAAAACGAGGAGTTTTAGAAAACACAGAATCAAGTTAAATAATAGGGTGCGGATCATGTTAGTATTTATTGTACTCAGTTGGTTAGACTAGAAGTCCTAGTTGGCAAGTTAGTTAGAGATGAAAAACAACTTCTTATTCTAGAAGCTGTAACGAAATAAAGCTAAGAAGCTTATATACATGTAAATAGATTTTTCCGCATTCAATGAAATATATTCTAGAATTTTCCCAATTTGTTTTCTCTGAAATCTCTTTTATGGTATCGAGCAATATCGTCTTCCTCCTTTGATCTGCGAAGCTATCAGTGTTTGTTGTTCTTCATGAGTTCTTGATTCAAGTTTCCTTTGATATTTGTTGAAATCATTCTTACTGTTTCTTGTTCCTCAACTTGAAGTAAAATGGCCAACGATTACCTCCAGAACCCTTCTAATTCATATTTTCTTCATCCTAATGAAAATCTTGCTCTTGTCTTAGTCTCACCTATTCTTTCTGGTTCTAATTACCACTCATGGGCTAGACCCATGAGGGTGGTGCTAATTTCAAAGAACAAAACGGCGTTTGTCGATGGTTCGCTGCCTCCACCATCTCGGACTGATCCTATGTACTCTACTTGGGAGAGATACAACACCATGGTTCTATCTTGGATCACAAGATCTTTGTCTCCTTCAATTGCACAAAGTATATTATGGAATGACAAGGCATCTGATGTATGGAATGATATGCAAGATCGTTTTTCTCAAGGTGAAGTATTATAAATCTCAGATCTCCAAAAAGAAATTTCTAGTTTTAAGCAAGGAGAGTTGTCTGTAACTGAATATTTTACTCAACTGAAAATCTTATGGGTTGAGTTTTTCAATTTCAGGTCTATACCTACTTGTTCTTGTGCTATGCCTTGTGCTTATGGTGCAATTAATGTGTTCAAGACTTATATGGAGAATGATTGTGTGATTAGGTTTTTGAAGGGCCTGAATGATCAATATGCATATGTTAAATCTTAAGGAATGATGCTAGACCCTCTGCCACCTGTGAATAAAGTTTTTGCTCTGGTTATACAATAGGAGAGGCAGTTGTTATAGTCAAGTAATTTTGAGTCAAAGGCCTTATTGAATAAATCTTTTAGGCTAAACACTAGTATTAACCACTCTTCTGGAAATAAGAATGGGAACCACAATTCTTTTGGCATAGAATTAGTGGTAATAGATTTCAGATGCTTATTTCGAAAGCATACTCTCCTCAGATGAACAGAAATCAGATGAACACAGGAACTAAGTTTTGCACTTATTGAGATAAACCAATGCATACAGTTGAGACTTGTTATAAAAAGCATGGTTACCCTCCTAATTTTCGGTCTAAGAACAATGCAACTCAACTTACTGTTATTCTGTGTGATGCTAGTAATAAAAAGCATGGTTACCCTCCTAATTTTCGGTCTAAGAACAATGCAACTCAACTTACTGTTATTCTGTGTGATGCTAGTAATTTTTCTGCGGCAGATTCTCATAATGCTTTAGAAAATTCAAATATGTCCGTGACACTAGATCAACACTTGAAGTTGGTTTCTCTCATCCAAGAACAACCAGACATGACTCATAAAACAATTGACAATATAGCTCATGCTGTCAATAATGTTGTAACTCCTATGCAACAAAATGCAACCATTGATGTTACAAACTCATCTGTCCTAGACAACACAATAGGTAATTCTGTGATTCTTCTTAATCAAATAGCACACCATTCATGGCTTCTAGACACAGGCGCCACCGATCATTTTTGCTTCTCTTTTTCATTATTCACGACATATAGAAAGATTAAGCCAATTTCTGTAAAACTACCAGATGGAAGCTTTGTTACTGCTGCTTATTCAGGCACAAATTTTTCATAGAAGACTTTCAATTGACTAATGTGTTATGCATACCAAATTTCAAATTTAACTTGATTTCAGTCACTAGACTCATTAATCAGTTGGCATGTGGCTTCCATTTTGAAGGCAATATTTGTGTTATCCAGGTTTACCTTACATTGAAGAAGATTAGTACAACTGAAGTTCAAGCTGGTCTCTATGCCTTGACTTCTCCAACATCTTCTCAATTGGTGAATTCTATCTGTGCTATTACTGCTTCTGCTACAGTAGTACCACAAGTCTCATTTCTAATGGAGCTTGTATGGCATTATAGACTTGGGTACTTATAAAATCTAAGGTTGCTTGAAATTTCTAAGATTTCTCCCTCTGTTTAGTGTAATTCCAATACTATGCCCTGTGATTGCTGTCATTTGGCAAAACAAAGGAGATTATCTTTTCCAATAAGTGAATCTGTCACTAGTTCTGCTTTTGACTTGGGTACTTATAAAATCCAAGGTTACTTGAAATTTCTAAGATTTCTACCTCTGTTTAGTGTAATTCCAATACTATGCCCAGTGATTGCTGTCATTTGGCAAAACAAAGGAGATTATCTTTTCCAATAAGTGAATCGTCACTAGTTCTGCTTTTGAATTGTTGCATATGGATATTTGGGGGCCTGTTAGTTCCTTCTTTACATGGACACTGGGTTTTTTTTTTTTTTTTTTTAATGAAAGCCAAATCAAAAGTGAGATCCTTAGTTCAAGCTTTCATACAAATGATTGAAACACAATTTAATATGAAATTCAAGCAAGTAAGAGCAGATAATGGTATTGAATTCCAAATGTATGAGTTTTACAAACTTAAGGGAATTCAACATCAAACTTCATGAGTGGAGACACCTCAGCAGAATGGCATTGTTGAAAGGAAGCATCAACACATTCTAAATGTGACTAGATCATTGCTCTTCCAATCCTATTTACACAAATCCTTTTGGTGTTATGCTGTACTGCATTCAATGTTCTTGATTAATAAAATCCCTATTCCCTTATTACAAAATGAATCCCCTTACCAAAAATTCTATCTTAAACCTCCAGATTATCAGGAACTTAGAGTGTTTGGCTGTCTTGCCTACACTAAAACATTATCTTCTCACAGAAAAAAGTTAAATCCAAGAGCCAGGAAATCAATCTTTTTGGGTTTTAAACCTAGTATTAAGGGTATCTTCTCATGGACCTTTAAAATAGAGAGATATTCTTATCTAGACATGTTATCTTCCATGAAAACCAATTTCCCTTTATTAATCCCCTATTCCCTACATATAGCTTTTCCTAACTTACAGATTCCACTTCCATCTGTTACCCTTCTGCAGATTTGTATGAACCTTCCCCAACATCTATTGTCCCTTCCCCAACAATACAACCTCTCGTGTCCTCTAATTCCCTTTCTCCTTTACCATCTCGACCCCAAAGAATAAGAAGAGCCCCATAATATCTTAAAGATTACCATTGTAATCTGGCTGCATCAGATTCTTCACTAAACACCTCCATTAAACACCCTTTGTTTGCAGTTATCTCTTACAAACACTTATCCCCTTCTTATTGTCATTTCATATCAAATATTACTTCTATTGTTGAACACAAATCATATCGAAAGGTAGTTAAACATCAAGTTTGGAGGGATGCCATGTCTGCTGAACTAGAAGCGTTAAATAAAACTCACACTTGGACTTTAGTTACACTTCCACTTGGAAAAATTCCAATAGGCTGCCAGTGGGTGTACAAAGTCAAGCACAGGTCAGATGGAAGTATAGAGAGACATAAAGCTAGGCTAGTGGTTAAGGGTTATACCTAAATTGAAGGGCTGGATTATCTTGATACATTCAGTCTTATAGCAAAGATGACTACCATCAGACTATTACTTGCTTTGGCTACAATAAAGCATTGGCATCTCCATTAATTGGATGTCAACAATGCATTTTTGCATGGAGATTTAAATGAGGAGGTTTACATGCCACCTACCTCAGGGTCTCATAGTATTACCAATTCAGGTTTGTAAACTTCAAAAGATCCTTTATAGCTTAAAATAAGCAAGCAGGTAGTGGTTCTTCAAGCTTTCACAAGTCTTAATCCAAAATTGTTAGACTCAATCTCCCTCTGATCATTCTCTTTTTACTCTCCACGAGTCCCATTCATTCACTACCTTGCTCATTTATGTTGATGATGTGATACTAGCAGGAAATGATATGCTTGAAATTTAAATGAAACAACTTCTTGATGGCCTTTTTTAAAATAAAAGATCTTAGCCCTTTAAGATTCTTTCTTGGCCTTGAGATTGCACAATCTCATAAAGGTATAACACTTTGTCAAAAAATTATGCCTTGGAGCTCTTAGCAGAAACTGGTTTTTTGGCATCCAAACCATGCTCCACTTCAATGGATTCCAATGTCAAAATCAGTGATATTACTGGAACACCATTAACTGATATATCTAGCTACAGAAAGCTTGTTGGAAAACTACTCTGTCTCACCACAGCTAGGCATGAACTCATTTTTGCTGTGAATCAATTAAGCCAATTTTTATCAGCTCCAACAAGTGCATATCAACAGGCATTACACAGAGTGCTTAGATACATAAAGCAAGCTCCTGGTTTGGGATTATTCTTTCATCCTCATCTTCCATACAACTCAAGGCCTTCAGTGATTCTGACTGGGTTGGATGCCTTGACACTAGGAGATCGGTTACAGGCTATGAAGTTTTGGTAACTCACTTATTAGCTAAAAATCTAAAAAGTAGCACACAGTGTCTCGATCCTCCTCTGAAGCAGAGTTTCGAGCCCTTGCTGCAACAATGTGTGAGATCCAATGGCTTTCTTACATCTTGAATGATTTGAAGATTGCTCATCCCTAACCAGCAACTGTCTTCTGTGATAATCAATCCGCCCCCCACATTGCAGCTAACCCAACTTTTCACGAAGGGACCATACACATTGAATTAGATTGTCATATTGTTTGTGAAAAAGTCAAATATAGTCTCATTCATCTCTTACACGTCCCATCTCATGCTCATTTAGAAGAAATCTACACCAAACCTCTCCCCATCTCCTCCTTCTGATCTATGATACTCAAGCTGGGAATGTATAATATCCATTCTCCAGCTTGTGTGTGTGTATACACCCAAAACCTCTCCCCCATCTCCTCACTTCTGATCTATAGATACTCAAGCTGGGAAGATAATATCCATTTCTCCAGCTTGTGTGTGTGTATGTTGGGGGGGGGGGAGTGGGTGGGGGTGGGGGGGTGTATTTACCAAATAGCAAAACGTAGAGGTTTAGACACAAAATAGGGAGTTTAGGAAAACACAAGAACCAAGGTTAAATGATACGGTGTGGATTCATTGTTAGTATTTTATATACCAGTTGGTAGACTAGGAAATCCTAGTTGGCAAGGGTGGGGGGGGTGTATTACCAAATAGCAAAACGTAGAGTTTAGACACAAAATAGGGAGTTTTAGAAAACACAGAACCAAGTTAAATGATACGGTGTGGATCATGTTAGTATTTATTATACCAGTTGGTTAGACTAGAAATCCTAGTTGGCAAGTTATTTAGAGATGAAAAACAACTTATTCTAGAAGCTATAACGAAATAACGCTGAGACGCTTATATACATGTAATATAGATTTTTTTCTCATTCAATGAAATATCTTCTAGAATTTTCCCAATTTGTTTTTCTGAAATATCTGTTACTTTTGTATTTGAATACAATAGATATAAAAATTTATCATAGTATAAGAGCTTTATTACTAAAACCCAAATTAATATGACGACACCCACCGATCAATTTTCACCATATGTTTTAGATCCATCAGATAGTCCTGGCATTTCTCTTTTTTCTTATTTACTAAATGATGACAACTACTTTACTTAGCGTAGAGCCATGACTAGTGCCTTGTTAGTAGGAACCAATTTGGTTTTGTTGATGGCGCTATCTCTTGTCCTCCTGCAAATTCACCAGACTTAGCTGCATGGATTAAGACCAATTCTATGGTGATATCTTGGCTTTTTTTAACTCACTCCATCCCTCTTTACATGACAATGTGGCTTATTTTGACACAGTAAGGGAATTATGGTTAGATTTAGAAGAACGTCTTTCACAAGGGAATACACCCTGTGTATACCAATTGAAAAATGGACATCATCTATACACAACAAAGGGATCAAACAATGATTCAATATTACACATGACTCAAAGGTTTGTGAGATGAATTTGGGTCTTATTCTCAAGTTCCAGTATATACCTGTGGAGTTACTATAACTTTTTCTGCAGAAAAAGAGAAATAAAAGGCTTACCAGTTTCTAATGGGCTTTCATGACAAATACAACGTTCTTAGGTCACGAATTTCTAACACAGAGCCCCTCCCTTCGTTATCTTGACCTTATGCTTTGGTCAATCAAGAAGAATGCCAACAACAAGTCACAATTGCAAAAAGGAACTGCTATCATTGAAAGTGCAACATTCAACACATCCAAAGGTATTTCTATTGGAACTAAAAGCTCTTCCATAACTCGTGATGTTTCAAAATTATTTTATGAGCATTGTAAAAAGTTCAGACACACCAAAGAGACTTGTTTTGAGATATATGGTTATCTGGAATGGCGGGGCAAGAATAAGAATAATGAAAAGAAAATCCGTAGAAGAAGCGGTAATAACACTCAATCAACTGATGGCTCTTTTGAAGTTAAACAGCAACAAACCCTTGCCATTTACAGGCTCTATTACAAATTTTGCTAGTAAGGCAGATGTTTCTTCTTTAGATAATGATGATTGGATTTCAGACTCAAAAGCTTTAGATCATATGACCAACCAAAATGACATGCTTACAAATGAAAGTAAGTTATTTTTCGAATTTCCTTTTCGAATCCAAATGGATCACATGTCATTGCTCGCTCATTTAGAGATGTTAAGCTTAATTCTGCAATAACTCTAAACCATGTGCTATATATACCTTGCTTTTCTAGTAACCTCATCTCAATCAGCAAATTAACCACCACATTAAATTACGTTGCTCATTTTTTCCCTTCCTTTCGTCTTTTACATGGCCTAGAAACGAAGAGGTTGATTGGCATGAGTGACCTTAAGAATGGCCTTTATTATTGTCGCAATG